TAAACTTGCTCCCGATTTCTAAATATCCGTTGAACATAGTCAACGACGCTTTCCATGAATGAAGACTTCAACTGAAGGAAAAATTCGCAGCAAAGAAAAATACATACCGATGCGTATTCTCTATGTCCACTGCAAACATTTACCATTATTTTTTCTTACAATTGTAACAAAATTTAAATCCAAAGAAGTGATCAGAAAAAACGCGGCGATGTAAACACTACCAACTTACAGCAACTTCCTAATGCAGACTGCCACTGCTCGACGTCACGCTGTGAAAAACGACGTCACAGGTACACTGTTTTCCCGAACTTTTCTAAAAGAAAATGGCGATTGAGCATTGTGCGTAATATAAGGTATACCGCCTTTGTTGTTCAACACACGTACTTTGATTTTTTTGTAAAATGTTCTCCTTTAACCAGGCAATTAAATATCACAAGAGGAAAGCGAAACTGGTAAGTCTTTAGTGCGGAAATCGGTCTTTGAAATTAGAGGATCCATGATCCGCCCACTTGTTTCACCTCCAGCTAAGAGGTGCATATTTAGTGTGCAAATCGAGAGTTTTCAAGCCTCTGTGACGTCACCCTCAATAATTTGTAACAGTTCAGAGAAATTTAACAAATGAATCCATAAAAAAAAATAATAAAATCAGAGTTAATCTATGGAAATCATTAGTCTGAAGTCTTGAGTACTATAAAACAAATTATCACTGACTGTGGTAAGGCACAGCAATTCTCCACAAGGCAGCAATATGATAGTACATGTAATACATATATACTGTAGATAATCCGAAATAAATTTGTATTGAACCCCTTTATCGATTGATTTGTGCATGATCAAGAACTAACGAAAAATGAGTTGACTGGAATAAGGTGTGTGTGTGTGTAGGGTGGGGGGGGGGGCGACTTCTTATCGTGTATGTACACAGGTCCCTCAGCTAATAGCAAATGGATTTCTGTTGAAAATATCTATATATCCCCAGCTATTTTATATGCTATTAGATCACCATCCCCTTATTTATATATATAATTAAAAAAAAAAACAATTCTAGATACCTACCCCACCAGGAAAAATGCTACCGTATACTCGGTGAAATTCGGCATGTTGTAAGTTCCTCTATTAAATGTATACTTTAATGTAACCTTCATATTATAGAGTCCTTATACAAGCAAAATTTAGATTTATTAAGAATTTTAGTGTGTGTCTCTGTATATGTTTGTGTGAGGGAGGGAGCTATGAATGGTTGCGGACACCCTCCTTAACATCCCAAAATATTCTATATGCTCTCCCTTCCCCTCACGAAATAGAACTTAATTTATTCTTAAATCAACTATGGGATGTATTTCTCAGTAATTTAAATGTGTTTGCATTTAATATTTTTAATTTTTATGTTGAATAATAGCTCTTGCACTAATCAACAACTTTTCTATATTTACATGTTATGCTTACGCGTGCAGTATTTATTCTATGACAGTGTTGTTGTGATTGTAACTGATTCTATAGCTGTAATGTGCATGCATGCTTATACTTGTAGTGTAACTCTACCACTGTATCATATGCTGCCTAACCTTATATATTTTGATATATACATATATGCGTCGGAAGGAAAATAAAAAGAAAAGTACGTTTAAAGAAATGAATTCGGTTGTGCCATGGAGTTGTAAAAGAAGATGGGTGAACAAGGCGTGCAGAATGCCTATAGCTTCAGATATTAAAAAATTCATATTAAGTTTGTGAATTAATTATTTAAAGTAAAGTTCTCAATATTGAAATTTATGAAATTATGATCAACAAAACTTTTCTAGAAAAAAAGATCTCGGAAAAAATTATTCTTTTATTAAGAAAACAAAATGGTATTCGTGGGATTCGAACCCCTACGTAACAATAAAAGTCCAGAATATCATGGACTAACACGTTAACCACTACGCTACACAGCTCCTGGTCAATATTGGCATTTAAATCATGTTTGTGATATGACCCTTGAACTTAATGGACTTCAAGTATTTCTGGGAAAGGTGCGAATGCTTTGTCATAAAAGTGTATACTTTTAAGGTACATGTATAGTGGGTTTTTGCTCCATGTTTTAGTAAACCAAGAAATGTATATTTTTATGCAAACTTTTAGGGTTAACTTTCAAGAAAATGGAGCGAAGACCCACTCATGTCGAAAAATTTTGTTAAAGTTTGAGAAAGTGATCCTTTTTGTCCTCTTTAGTGTGTGTATGCTATTTCGTAGGCAAATAATTTCAGTCTTTGTGAGATTTTTGTAAATTGTAGAGATTTTACATAAAGTATACTTTAATGTTAGATGAAATATCAAAGAAAATTTTGATATCATTGAGATTTTTTTTCACTTCATGTTTGTCGCACTATAGGCACTTCGCCCGCCTTGTTCACCCATCTTCTTTATCTATTCAGTTGGATGTTTGCTTATACGTGTAAGTAAATAATGAAGTTTGCTTCCGACGCTCTCTCTCTCTCTCTCTCTCTCTCACTCTCTCTCTCTCAAATACTCTACTAAATAATGCACTGTGATTGTCTTTATGTAGTGTATGCACCCTCTGATCCTTAAACACCCTCTGTAGTATGCTAGCTAGCTTTGTAACATAACTTCATGGTGTGCGCTTTTGTGCTTGTGCGTATGGGTCACTAACCAGTTAATCCAAGCACTATGGATACTGGGGGTTCTAGCTAGTGCTACCAAATCTATCTGAAATAGTTTACGTAGTTGACATTAGGAAATATTATTTACTTATAATGCATCTTAGTGTAGTCTATGTACAACTGTATCAAATTTTTTTAAAATTAAACCAAAATGTGAACTTCAGCAGGAGGGGCATTTTGAAATTCACGAATTTTATTCTCAAGCCGATTTTCAAGATATTTGTCGTTTGTTGTATGTCAGTTATTTAAATCAGACCAAACGTTAAAAGGGTAGAATTTCAATTTTTATTTTACGGACAAACAAATGCACGGACGATGGCTATCTTTGCCCAGGATCTTCTTAAAAACTTACTGAATGTATCTAAGCATGTTCTGAAAATAAATAATGTGCCTTCCAATAACAAGAAGATGTATATTTGCGGACCCCCCCCCCCCAGTGCAATACGATTTACGATGATTTTAGGCACTCCTCCTTTTTTCATGAAGAAGAAAATAAATAAACTAACTAATTTAGGAATGACTCTAATTCTTGGCCAAATTATTCGAGTATAACCTGGTTTGGGTCAGTTTACGCTTTATAATCCGCGAATCATTAAATAATTTAATTTTGTTTGTATTCTAGCCTCTGATTGGTTAATATCCAAAAAGGAACACAAATTATTTTTGTATAACCTGGTTTGGTATGGGACCCCCCCCCCCCCCCCCGACAACCAGCTGAATCATCTGTATCCATACAATCCTCTCATTTCCAGTCCTCGGGATTCATGGAAAATTCCAGATTTAATAAATGTACCTTTAGCTATTTTTTTTAAACTAATATTTAATATTATTGCTTTCATCAGCATCGCAAACATTCAAATTTTCCTAATTGCACTTTTTACTTGCATGCATTGTAAAGGATCAATTATATAATAACACAAAATAGACTGAAACGAAAAGAAATAGGATAATCAGAGATCAACAAAATAGTTAGCATGCTCTTCAACAACAACTTGGAAACTTGCCTGTATATGCCAGCTCTATCTAATGGGATTTCAATTAAATTGCATCTAGCCATGTTGATGAAAATTTAAATGGAAATAAACTGAGCAGACATGCAATAACCAATTACATTCTGTACATAACAGCCAAAATTATCATTTTTTGTTCACATGGAATTAATTCACATTTTAATACTATCCACACATGCAGATTTCATTAACCAACGACTTTCACGGTTGATCTTCAGATTTGTTCATATAATTTCTAAATTAACCAATAGGCTTTCTTAACCAATTTTAATTGCTTGACGCCACGTGCGTCAGGCAGTATAAGGATTAATTTTTCCAAGGTCTGAAACTAAGCGATCTTTCTTAATGAACTAGATTTTCTGCAAGCTGATTTACATCGGACTTTGTTACCTGCATTTAAACAAATACAGTTTGCAGAAGAAAGATTCATATTACTGATGCAAAATAATGATGTGTTTAATTCCTTCAGTTTTTTTTGCATGCACATGTTTATTCCTTGCAATTCTTTGTACGGACTTGTCCGTGAAACATTTTTTCTGCGTTTCTAAACTACTGGAACAGTCCATTTGCCTTCTACGAAAGGGGTGACACAATTATTTTGCGCCAAATGTCACAAATAAATTTTTCTTGGATTGTTATATTGAATAGGAATGATAACCTCTTTGGGAATAAATAAAGTTTGTTCTTTAAACCTGACTTCAGATTTTTTATTAACTGCAAATTTTATCTCATTTTTTAAAAGAACACATAGTATATGGACAGGCAACACTAAAACAGTGAATTAGGTTTTTTTTTTTTTTTTTTTTTTTTTTATATATATAATTTTACTATCTTGTTGCCCGGTTATCCCATTAGTGGACTAGTCCAATCATAAACAAACTCCCTCCACCTAGTAAATGGGACATCCCTTCTTGATTCAGTCTGTTATCCAACTTTTCTTTTAATATTACATTTATTAATAATGTACATTACAAAGTTAGGTTTTTAGAAAAGCTTAAAAAGTCAACCAGTAGCATATTATTTCATGCTTTGTGATGAACAAGGGTTTCCTTTTAATACAGTGACAAGAGAGTAGGTCAGTACCCGTAGAGGAATGGGCTTCACTCCCTTAAGGTTCTAAGTAAAGAATCGGCAAAATGAAGAAGACATCATGATCTGTACTGGTTTTCATTTCACAAAAATCAGGTCATTATAGAAGAAATGAGAAAGGTCCTGAAATCGATTGAAAAGAAAAAAACTAAACAATTTTAAAAACTATACATTAAGATGTATTTTAAAACTCGTTTATTATAATACATGTACATGTATATGGTAAGACCATCATCGCATGAGTTTTGTCCGGGGGGGGGGGGGGTAGTATCTTGTTTTGCTCTAGCTATAAAGTGGACAGGCCATTTACTTTGAGTTCAAGAGCAGCATTGAAGCATTTTTGTCTCCAACACTTCAAGACATTTTTCCCAGTTAAAACTGTTCACAATTTACTTCGTCTTCGAGAACGACGGAGAACAGACCAGTCTATAAATAGACGCCGTCTCATCAATCTATCACTGACCAGAGAGTGTGCATGAAGAAGCGCGCTTTCTGGTAAGAGAGTAATATGAATTTCTTTAGAAGGACTTATCTATCTACATGTATTTTTCCGAGAATTCCAATCTACGCTAGCGCACTTGCAGTTTCATCCCAACGTAACTAGTCAGCCCATGGGTTAACTAATAAATGACTAAACAGTGGCATGTCTTAGATATTCGATAATCTGCAATATTTGGTAATGACATTTGAGAAAGTCAATTGTACATCTTGTGTAATGAAGTATCGCAACTGTCGCTCCTTGATGACGAAAACGTTTAGCACCTCTCTTGCTTATACGTTCCATAGATATTGATTGATTAGTCAGGCAAGCTTTTTGAAAAGTTATTACTTGTTAAGAAATAAACAACAATGTTAAAAGGTTCACTGGGAAAGGAACTTCGTTGGTCACGTGATCAAATCCTGTGAAGCCCAAAGGGCTTATATGAAATACATGTATAGTATAGAATATCTAACGCTGTTATTCGGGGGTATTTTCATCATTGTAATATCATGATTGTTTTCCCTGTATTCCTTTCCGTTAAGTAACACTTTTAAATACACAGGTAACCTAAACATACTTTATATAATAAAAAAAAAAGAACACCAAAATTTATAGATAATACATTCTAGTTTGTAAACTAGGTAGATTCAATATTTATTTTTTTTCACTTTCATTTCAACCACACTTTGAAATTTTCTCTTTTCTTCTCCGCATATTCCCTCCACTTGACCATCCTCCAATTCCTCCCCGTCAACCTCAACTTGTACCGACACTCTAACAACGATGTTTTGGGCTGGGAGACTGTCTCTAGCTGCATCACACGCCCTAATGAACCCAGTAGGAATGTATTTCCTATTGACATTCATGTCTGTAAAAACCGAGAAAAGATAAATATTTGCGTAAACACATGAATGATCTCATATATTTTTTAATGGCCTTTTGTAATTACACATTGGCGTCGGAACCGGGGGTGCGGGGGGGGGGGGGATAGGGGGGACTTAGCCCCCCTCCACTTTTTTTTGCAAAGATAGACATGATATAGGCATTGAAGACTGGGGTTTACCTTTTTTCGTTGGTTTAGCCCCCCCCCCCCCCCCACCCACTTTCAATTTGCTTCCGAGTTCCGACGCCTATGCATGTACATTAAGACAACGAAACATAAATTGGCAAAATTGGAAATATGCAGCTTACGTCATTTCCATCTGTTACAATCAAAACAATGAAATGAGCGGGTTCAATTCGACACGGACGTCCTAGAAAACACTGGATTGAAATTCTAGTTTGAAATTAATTTTCAATCCACCTCAGCTACGCTAGAAGGCACGGTGTTACTGATTGACCCAGAACAAATAATGTCAATTTCAGTATAGTTTGAAATTTATGTAAATCAGAAGTTTCGATTCTGTCCAGTGTTTTAAAGAATATAAATGGACAAATATTTGATTTCTGTTTGGTATATTATGTGTGTGTTGGGGGAGGGGGGGGGGGGAGTGCGGCCGAACGATCTTGGAAATAAATAAGAAAGTTGTCAAACATTCTTTAGTGAAGACAAAACTTAAAAAAAAGCTCTTGTCATCCTACAAATAAATATATTATGACATGATTTTGACAGCCCCTCCCCCAACCCCCTTCTAGAATGAAATGGACTTTAACCCAAAAAATAACATGCCTTCTATGACTTTTACGTGTCCTTAAAATTATAGGCTGAAAAAAACCATATAAATATGAATTTCAAACAACATGTATTTGGGAATTGATTTTTTTTTTTTTTTTTTTTTGTCTTTTGGATCACACATTCGAACTTTGCTTTTGAAAACAGCTCAGCTGGATTGAAAATGAATTTCAAACTAGAATTTCAATCCAATGTTTTCTCGGACGTCCGTGTCGAAGTGTACCCGCCAATTTCATTGTCTGTCATTAAATTTTTTGACTGAAAAAGCTGGAAATGATGTAAACTGTATCTTTCCAATCTTGCCAGTTAATGTTAATCGGTCTTAACGATACGCGAGTTTGCTTTCTGAATAACAAATTTCATTTATTGAAATTAATTTTAAAACAAATTAAATTTTACACAGAGGATGCATTGATCATGTATAGGATATAATATTTTTATTCCTGTAGATGGCCAAATTTTAAAATTTTAAACCTTTAAATCAAAGATCCAGACAAATTACTTATATGTTTAGTAAATACGTTAAATTACAGATTTGTTTAGTAAATAATTTAATTTGTTAAACAAATTAATAGAAGGCACTGCTGTGGCCCTAATACACTTCCGTACCTAACTACACGTAAAAGGAGTTAATTGATATTTCTTTAAAAGAAGACTATTTTCCAGTATTTAAAGCAGTTTAATTTCTACAAGTAACATGTTCAAATTTTTGTCTCCGTTAAGATAAAAAAAAATTAAAGTTTGCTTAACAACTGGTACACCGAAATCTGCATTTTAGTTTGATAACTGTGTAAGTCAGACCGAAGCAAGAAATGATATTGTCAAAGCTGATAGGTTCTGTCTGGAATATTTAATAAGTTTAATTGATTGAGAAGTTCATATTTAACAGATGTTTTAAAGCTAAATTCAAAACAAATCGGAATATCTTCTTTTTTTTTGGCTGAATATTATTCGCTGCAGGGGTAAACAATATGACATTTGTGAATTATTAAGACGGGAATTTTTCTTGGTAGTTTAAATAAAATATCTGCACAGTTTTGTGGATGTGAGGGTGTGTACGTGCGTTATATTAATCAATTTACCAATATATTCATCCACGGCGGAGATGTACGGCTCGTACAGTACCTCGGCCTCCTCCCAACTCTCACAGCTCGTTCTTTCTAAAAACAGATTCTTAAGAATGTCTCTTTTTTTCTCCTTTTGAACAATTTCTGCAACCTTCTTCAAGTCTTCACGAATTTCAATTCTTCTGAGATAACGTGTGATAATGTCTTCGCCAAATCTTAGAAAAGCTCTGAACAACTGAAATAAGGAAATGACAACTTAGTGATTTTAGACACCTATCGTCTATTACTGTAAACCACGTTTTATTCGCGACAACTTTATTTTCGCGTAATTACGCGAAACAGTCTGCTCGCGAAAATTTTATTCTCGCGTATATTATAGTCTTTAAGATTATATAGAGCAATAACCACAATTCATGAAAATTTTGTCTCACTATAAAGAGTTGATGACTATCTCGCGAAAATAAAGTGTCACGAAAATTTAGTGATCTACAGTATATGAAATGGAGGAAGGGGTGGGCAGCCAGGAAATAGGTGGCAATTATCTGAAAAGAGATCAAGCAAGGAAGAAATTAAGCAAAGAAAAAATGAGGAGGTTCCAACTCTTTGACAAAAACATCTTCTTAAATACGCTATGTTGATCATAATGCAAAAAAAAAGGGAGGATAAGGGGGTCAGCTTTTTAATGTACATGTTTATACTAAATCAAAAATGTGATCAGCCATGTGCACGTGATTAGAAATATTAACCTACCAGGACAGATTAATATAGATGGAATATTACATACTGAAATCCATATCATATGTCATATCAGCCCTCGGGCCCCATATTAGCCCTCGGACCTGCGGCCCTCGGGCTGATATGACATATGATATCTATTTTAGTATGTAATATTCTCTATATAATAGGTATTGATGAAATAAGTCCTCTTTATTTAAACACATTGTTACATATATAAATTTTCAGAATGCATGTGTAAGGAAACAGAAATGTACCTGTTTCGGAACATCTAGACTTCCAAAGAGTTCAAAAACTCTTTCCGCCTCTTTATATGCTTCTTCGGAGTAAGAGGCCACCCCAAAAACTATAGACAAACTACTTTTGAGACATTCCTGTTCAAAAATGTTAAATTTAATTTATTTCTAAAAGGTATATCTCACACAGTTTAAGTATACCTTGCGCAGCAAAATTTGACAGAAACAGTGTATTAACTTAAAAAACATCTTTCCACAGTTTATATAGTTATTTCTCCAAATGACAGTTTAGAATTGATTTTATTTTGAAATCCTCTTTATGGTGTTTTAGTGAAATGAAATGAAACCTTTTGCTGTATGTGGGAAAGAATGACTGTGGCAGTATCTTTCCACTGATCTCCCACCTCGTCTCTTAAATAAACTGCCCTAGCTTGACGGACTTGATCCTAAAGAATTAATATAATTAGTGAGCAACTTCTGACCATAACATTTAGCTTTTGCAATTTCAAGTGTATGCTGCCATACTACTCACTTGAAAGTGTAGTGTTTTGTGGAACATCTCTTATTATGGATATTTCCAACAAGTTTTGCCTCTTCTGGGGTTAGCCCCACATGAAGCTCTACTTCATAATTTCTGGAATTTTTTTTGTTAAAATGCAGTTAACTTGTAAAACAATTTTTATGTATGGCGGTTTCTCGATATAATAGATGCCTATGGGACACAACACTCACCCGAGTCAACTTGGCCCTTCTATTTTTCATGACATTCTTTTTTTTATTTTTTGAAAAGCTATACTCTTGGAAACGATTTTTTTCATTCATATTTCTTCATAAATTTTGATCCCCTATTCACCAACACCCTACCCTGGGGCTCAGTTCTAAATAAACTTGAATTTACACTACTTTAAGATGTTTGTATGTAGAGACTTGTCATAGTCCTACTGTATTTCACAAGATTTTAAAGATTTTTATCAGTATATAATCCCACTTAAAATTTGGATCCCCTATTGAACATTTTCGGAATCTCAGACACCGGAAGTTGACATCAGACGGCGGACTTTTCACGTAAGGGAACATGTCAAAAAGTGAATAATATAAATAAATTTTGTTATCTTGATTAATTGTACCCGATAATCACATTTCGTTCTTATGTATATTAACACTACTCTATATTGTACAAGTGTACACATGCATGTGGTATTGAAGGGGGGGGGGGGCTCCCCCAACTTTTCCTAAAATAATTATTTGCCCCCTTTCCCGAGAGATTGTTTAATTACAGTGGCGCTTTTCCCCCAACAACATATAGAAAGCAGAAATCTCAAAGAACTAAGAAAATGTAAAGGACTTGCATCTTGATATAGATACCTTAATGAACGCATTATCTTAAAATAAGAAACAATCTGTCAAAGTAAGTTAAGGTGACACTTTAAAAAATATATGATAAACTTTGTTTAAGGTAGTTTAAGGTAAAAAAGGGTACCTTCTCGGGAAATAAATAACTTTGGACAATAACATATTATCAGTGTCTTGAACGTGAATAACATCACATACAGCTTATTTCGTACTCCACATAACAGGCGCGAATCCAGATATTTTAAAGAGGGGGGGGGGGGGGGGGCAAAGGACTGGTCTTTGAAATATAACTACTGTTTTTAAAATTTTAATTCATGAACATGTTATCCCTAAAAAAATAAAAACTGAACAATTACATTCTCGTTGGAATAGCCGGGCAAAGTGTGATGTAAATTAGTCAGGATACCTAAATTTTGGGTTCTTAAAATCACTCAATGAAGTCAGCTTAGCAATGTACTTTTGGATTTTTCAAATGAAATTTTGCAAATTTTATTTCCTTGTTGTGACTTTTTTTTTCAAAATTATTTTCTTTTTCATATCCGATTTATTGTTTATAAAAAAAACAACAAACAAGCAAACGAAACAAAAAAAAAAGAACATCATTAGTTTCTATATCATATTAACCGAGCTGGTTTGTATAGTGTTGAAATAAGAAATCAGTTTCCTATTTCGTGTGCATGCAGAGAAATCGAAAATTTTGAACGACTTCATTGTGCTGAAGAAGATAAATCAAACAGTAAGTTTTATTATTGTCTGTTGCATCCTAAAATTCCAATAACATGTATACAGTCACAACTCTCTTTTTTCACCTCTTCTTATATTTTTAAAAAAAAAAAAAATCCGCATTTGTTATTATTTAAATACGCAGGAGAGTGGCCTCAAGTTTGCCGCATTCAAGAAATAGGATTGGCGGATCCAAGGGGGAGGGGGGGGGGCTCCGGGGGTTGGAATTCCCTTTTTTGCAGAGAGAGAGAGAGAGAGAGAGAGAGAGAGAGAGAGAGAGAGAGAGAGATTTTTTCTGTAATATAGATATTTATAGTTTAATACACGTATTTTGAATAAAATAAATAGTTCAATCTTTGCCTCTTCTGCTAGCTAGTTAGAGTTTCGCGTATTTGCTTTCCTCCATGTACACAACCCCGGTTCAGGGCACCGACCACCCGCAAGTAACATGCAAGGTTTCACTCTGATATCATCGGAAGATTCTGGCGAACTTAAGCTTTATGCCATTTTTGACCATCTTCTGAAGTACAGTTCTAACTTTAAGAACTGAAGTATTCATAAAAAGTCATGAATTTACACTTACTTGCCCTTGATTAAACATTAGCTATAGGTTAGCATAAGAGGTGGAGTAAACATTGTAAGAATGGCTCTAGAATTAGACTAGATAAATAAATGACAAGATTACTCTTTCCCATCTTCCCCTTTATTCTGTATGGCACAAGTACACTATTAACAAAGGTTTCAAAATGAAATAAACAATATGAGCGCGTCCATGTAAGGAACGAATAGTTTGAATCGATGCTTGACTATTCAAAGTGTTCGAGCACAGTGTCCTAATTAGCACAAAACATGCTCACGTGACGGAATTTAGTTACCTGAGGTAATTAAGAAATCACATAATGAATTATAATATTCAGCATGTCACAACCCTTGGTTACGACACAGAGAGCGAATGTAAGAAGAAGCAGGTTTTTTTTCTTTTAAACCATAAGCGCATGTTTCTCTATTAATCTCCTTTTGATACAACATTATTAATGCAAATATACAACTACTGTTAAACGGAGATGCGCTGACTATGTATAAAGTCATTGAAAAAGTGAGCTTACTCATTATCGTACGGAGTTTCAAGAAATTGTGATGACTCCCGCCTTTGAAACAGCTTCATACTTTGTAAAAATAAAGTTTTATTTAATGTAATTACGTAAATTTGTAGATTAGATATTGACCATTCCTGCAATTAAAAGAATTTTTTTAAGTTTGAAGGTTTATTTGTAGCAATTTTCGCATGTCCTTAAGTGCAGTCATCCTTTGCCCCCCCCCCTTCTGTAATCAAATGGCCGTCCCCTAAAAGAATATAGCTATATCTTTTATAACTTTTGTGTACCCTCAAAATTCTGTTTCACATTAATATCTAACTATAGGTATTTGGGAACTGAAATAAATTGTCCGTTGGATCATACATTATCACTCTGCGAATGAAAATAGTCGAGGTGGATGGAAAATGAATTTCGAACTGCAATTTCAATCCAATGTTTTCACAGACGTCCGTGTCAAATTGTACCCGCCCATTTCATTGTCTATCATAAAGTGTTTGACTGTGACAGATGAAAATGACGTAAGCTGCATATTTCCCATCTTGCCAGTCTTACCATAATTATGATAACAAGATCCAATAATGTCTATAAACATTTAAAATGTGACTCAATTTGTACACGTATTCTTTTCCGCGTATTTTGAAATCAAATCGTAATCTTATTAAAAGTTTTTTGAGTACAATGGACTACCATGACGAGCATTTTATATCATATCTTTGAAATGCTCCCAACATTTCCGATAGATTTGGTAGCACTAGCTAGAACCCCCAGTGTCCATAGTGCTTGGATTAACTGGTTAGTGACCCATGCGCATAAGCACAAAAGCGCACACCATGAAGTTATGTTACAAAGCTAGCTAGCATACTACAGAGGGTGTTTAAGGATCAGAGGGTGCATACACTACATAAAGACAATCACAGTGCATTATTTAGTAGAGTATTTGAGAGAGAGAGAGTGAGAGAGAGAAAGAGAGAGAGCGTCGGAAGCAAGCTTCATTACTTACTTATAAGCAAACATCCAATAGATAAATTTTACAACTCCATGGCACAACCGAATTCATTTCTTTAAACGTACTTTTCTTTTTATTTTCCTTCCGACGCATATATGTATATATCAAAATATATAAGGTTAGGCAGCATATGATACAGTGGTAGAGTTACACTACAAGTATAAGCATGCATGCACATTACAGCTATAGAATCAGTTACAATCACAACAACACTGTCATAGAATAAATACTGCACGCGTAAGCATAACATGTAAATATAGAAAAGTTGTTGATTAGTGCAAGAGCTATTATTCAACATAAAAATTAAAAATATTAAATGCAAACACAATTAAATTACTGAGAAATACATCCCATAGTTGATTTAAGAATAAATTAAGTTCTATTTCGTGAGGGGAAGGGAGAGCATATAGAATATTTTGGGATGTTAAGGAGGGTGTCCGCAACCATTCATAGCTCCCTCCCTCACACAAACATATACAGAGACACACACTAAAAATTCTTAATAAATCTAAATTTTGCTTGTATAAGGACTCTATAATATGAAGGTTACATTAAAGTATACATTTAATAGAGGAACTTACAACATGCCGAATTTCACCGAGTATACGGTAGCATTTTTCCTGGTGGGGTAGGTATCTAGAATTGTTTTTTTTTTTTAATTATATATATAAATAAGGGGATGGTGATCTAATAGCATATAAAATAGCTGGGGATATATAGATATTTTCAACAGAAATCCATTTGCTATTAGCTGAGGGACCTGTGTACATACACGATAAGAAGTCGCCCCCCCCCCCTACACACACACACCTTATTCCAGTCAACTCATTTTTCGTTAGTTCTTGATCATGCACAAATCAATCGATAAAGGGGTTCAATACAAATTTATTTCGGATTATCTACAGTATATATGTATTACATGTACTATCATATTGCTGCCTTGTGGAGAATTGCTGTGCCTTACCACAGTCAGTGATAATTTGTTTTATAGTACTCAAGACTTCAGACTAATGATTTCCATAGATTAACTCTGATTTTATTATTTTTTTTTTATGGATTCATTTGTTAAATTTCTCTGAACTGTTACAAATTATTGAGGGTGACGTCACAGAGGCTTGAAAACTCTCGATTTGCACACTAAATATGCACCTCTTAGCTGGAGGTGAAACAAGTGGGCGGATCATGGATCTTCTAATTTCAAAGACCGATTTCTGCACTAAAGACTTACCAGTTTCGCTTTCCTCTTGTGATATTTAATTGCCTGGTTAAAGGAGAACATTTTACAAAAAAATCAAAGTACGTGTGTTGAACAACAAAGGCGGTATACCTTATATTACGCACAATGCTCAATCGCCATTTTCTTTTAGAAAAGTTCGGGAAAACAGTGTACCTGTGACGTCGTTTTTCACAGCGTGACGTCGAGCAGTGGCAGTCTGCATTAGGAAGTTGCTGTAAGT